TCCAGTGAGTATTTGTCAGGTCAGACTGTGCACCGCCCGGCGGTCTCCGCTCCTCTCCCCGGGTTATTTATTACCTCTCTCCCCCGCCGGCAGCGCTGCGGCTCCGGGGCTGCTGCCAACAACGGCGCAGAGGCGGGGGCCGCGTCAGGGGGGCTCTCGCCGGCCGATTGGAGGAAGCAGCGGACATGAAATGCGTTTTGGAGGAAGGGCTGAATTTGTGCCTCATTACATGTTACTGTCCTCCACATTTTCAGTAAACATCCTTTATGGTTTGAAGACTGAGGACTGATGTCACCGAGCCCTGGAGTGAACTACTCTTTGGTTCTGCTCTGTTTTGAAAGCAGAGAACACTGTGGAGCTAAAGGTCACAAAACATATCTCTGTAGCACCAGTGCTTTAATAATCACTTCATTCATTAGGTAGGAGATCAACATAACACACATTTCTACCAGCAATTTTAATATGTTATAATAATATAATATTTTGTTGGGTTAGTCTTCACTGGGGTGCGAGGAACCTTTAACACCTGTTTTTTTGGTTTGCACGAACTGAAACCTCTGGAGGTCTTGACTAAACAAGGTGTGGAAGCAACCTATACTCATCATTTACAGGTTGTAGCTTTTCAAATGCAATCATTAATCATTTTTCTCTCTAACATCAATATAAATCAAATATCTTTGATGTAAACAAGCACATTGTTGACGTAACCATGAATTCTGAACTTGGACTGATGATTTTATACAAACCAGTTGAAGTTACAATAGTTCATCACCATAGTATGTCCATGGTGATACAACCATCCACACAAGTCTTAAGCATAACTGTATCTAAATAATTCATATTCACCTGCTGTTTTGTATTTGTCATTATAAATCATATATTACTAAGTTTTATTAAAGAGGGAAAGGTGGTCCAGTGGTTAGCACTGTTGCCTCAGCACGGGTATGGCTCTTGGGTTGAACCTGATGGCTGGACTGGATCTGTCTCTGTGGAGTTTGCATGTCGTGTCCATCTCTATGTAGCTTATCTCCAACTTCCTCCCACAGTCTAAGATGTAGTTTGCGTTTGGGTGAACTGGGGACTCTAAATTGCCCGTAGGTGTGAGAGTGAATGGTTGTGTTTCTGAGAGTGTGTGTTTTTTTCCATTGTATGTTGTAACCCACTTCTTGCCCAATGTCAGCTGGGTGGCTCCACGGCTATGCAACCCTCAAGGATAAGCAGTACAGGTAATGGATGGATGATTTTTTTAAACAGTCATAGACAGTAACCTTGTAGACAGTATTAACAGGTGGATAAAAACATGTACCACAGAAAAAGACTTATCTTGTCTTTTAAAATCCGTTCTGCTGAGAAATAGGAAATTACAGCCATTGCATTGAATTTATCATCAAAATAAATATTCTCTACAATGCTGCTAGATGGTCAGAATCAATGCCTATTAATTGAGTCTACAGTTAAAAAATCTTTAGTGTGTGCCATGGCAGATCAGATAAGCTACATATAAACAGAAGTAACTGGCTATTGACAGTATAATACCTTCTTCTAATATTGGAATTTTGTAACTCATTGTACATTAATGGGGTTTAAGAGTAGGAGTGGGTGGTTTTTCCTGTGATGCAGGGCTCTTCTATACTGTACTAATAAGAAATAAGAAATGCTTATACATGCTGCTGAAAGGTTAAACAAGGTTTCCCCATCACATATTTCTATTCAAAAAAAAAAGACAAAGCCTGGTGGAAAAATCGAGTCAGTTCCCTCGAACCACTCTTTGAAGATGTTAAGGTGTCGTCACCGTATAAGTTTGGGGAACTCCTCCGTGATGAGGCACCGAGAGTGAGTCACGATCAGGGACAGGGTGTGGGTGTGCAGGAGTGGGCACGGGTGTCCCCTTTATGACTAGTTTCGTCAGGGCTCTCCCGATGGTGCAGCCTCCAGTGCCCACACATGCAACAGCAAGGTTTCCACTGAGACATTTCAATGTGGTGAACGCTGGTTTGATAAAGAGACAATCAAAAAGCATCTCAGCTGAAACGCAGCGTTCCACTTCCTAGAAATGGCTTTGCAAACATGCGCCATAAATGTCAGCAGCCAGTGATTTATGTCAGTGCTTTTGCTCAGTGTACTCGCCAACATGTGGGAAGTGACATTATTGTTCAGTTGAAAAATGTTACCTTTCGATTTCATTTTTCTGGCTGTGTTCACTGTAAAGATAGATATCGAATCACTCTTTTGTTTTCATTAAGCTGTGATTTTAAAATGTTTTCACTCTCAAATCCACTATTTCCATTTTCTCCTCCTCACACGTCACAGCTCCTCAGCTCCAAAAGGAAAAATGTTTTGTCTGTCATCATCCTTGGTGACGTCGCTGGCAGAGTGTTTTTGTAAATGTCTGCCGTGTGTTTGCCCGGTCTTGGCTGTAGGTAATACCAGTCCTGGCCGGGCTGTGGTCTCTGGCCTTTTCTGTGGGCCGCTTCCGCCTGTGGTGTGGTATGCCTCCTTTCTGTGTGTGTCAGAGTCGGTTTGGCCTGATTTATAGGCCCCTAACACACAGCGCCTTGGACCCCACCTCTGCTGCTGGAATGGCTATTCCATGTGTCGGCGGTGGATCCACCTGGGTGGTTCTCCACTGATGGGGGTCAGATGTGATCCTGCTCACCAGCTCCAGGAGCTCAGGGGAACATGCCCTGCAGACAGTGTGGAGAGAAAGTGCTTTCAGAGAATACAGCTCCACAGTTCAGAGGCTTTGCAGCAGAAAGTTACACATATGATCTGCTCTTTTAAAAATACTTTCTCAAAACCCCAAATTAGATTAAAATACAACTATTGGGTTGTATTTTGGTTCATGTAAAAGTTAAAGAACAAATAACAATTTAACTCCTGAAAAAACTTCACTTCATTCTTATAGGGATCACGAGTGTCTACAGCACCTGTCCACTGACCCACTGGTTTGCCTCTTGTAAGTTAAACATCTAGTAATATCTGAGCACACTAAGGCTACATCTATACATTGCTGTTTGATTTGGGTACGCCTGGCCTCCACATTACTCTGGAATTTTAGAGTTTCTAAAATGGAGAAGTCACATTTTAGCTTGAAAACATCGGGGCAACAAGACGGGAAGAAATTGAGATGATTGAAAACTGATTGGGTTTTACCTGTCACAACGTAGCCTTCCATGACCCCCTTCCACAAGAAAACAAACCTCAGCTACCAGTATAAAACGCAACATGGATAATTAATTTCAAGCGTTGCTGAATCTGTTGTCATTGATAACAGCTGTGCAATTAAATTCTGCATTTTACAATCATACAACTGTTTACATTTATTAAAGAGGCAGCATAGTACACAATGATTGCACTTGATTATCAACAGGTTTCACGGAGCTCGTGCTCTTACTCTTAAACCCCTAAAATATCGCACATTTTTCAAGTTTAGTTGTGTGAAACTATGACTTTATGCAAAACATTTTAAGAGAGGGTTTAACAGCAACAGCTCCACATTTAAGCAGCGTGGCTCTCGAAAGCAACTGCAGCAGGTGAGCAGTTTCCGTGGGGTGAGAGAGGGCAAGCTGGTGTCACAGTAGGTGGAGTATAACAAAATAGGTGCTTTAATTTAGACACAGAGGAGAACATCACACACCCAGTGTGCAGACCTGCTGCTGATGTCATGGGTAGATCTGGTTAACTGTGACATGACCAGGCCGACTACATTCAAGTTGAAGGCCTGATAAAAAATGTTTTCATATCAGTCGATTTAAAGACTGATTTCTGCTCCTGAGTGTTTTTAGGGTAGGTGAAATATTCAATTGGTTTAATTTTGCGTTACTAAACTGGGTCTTACACAATATGTCCTTATGAACTGTTTTTGGTTGTTTGCGGCACAATGTACTGTTCTGCAACTTTGGCCAAGAAAAATGTCCCCGTGCGGACAAAAGTACAAAGTATATTTGATTTGATTCAACACTTAAACAGCCAAATATTTTACAAATCTGTGGTAGATAAGTTATGTATTACACTGCTTCACTCTGCTTACACACTGCATATCTCATATATTGATATTGAATCTTTGTGATATTGCTAAAATTATATTGCGATAAACATTGACATTTTTTATTGCCCTGTCCTTGCTGCTTCAGTCATAAAGTATAATTTGCTTTTGGCAAATGTGGTAAAAAAAAAAAAAAAGAGATACTTTATGGCAGATGTGTGCTTTAAGATAAGTGATAATCTTTTTTTAGGCAGATTTTATAAGAGGAAACTATTGTTGAGAATCTGCTTCATTTAAGAATAATATAAATTGACTTTGTAAAGTGTAGATATTGAAAAGAAGCTTCCTCAAGTTTTACATTCAGCTACATGGGGGAGAAAATGACTGCTCACTTCCTCATGTGCATGTGCTTGTTCCTCTTCTTTGGCCCATGAGGTGCCGTCCCTCGCAGTCCCCCCTGCTCTATGGGGCTCTCGCCGAGCCTCCGCTGTTTAAATGGGCCAAGTTGAGAAGCGGCGGAGAGTGCAAATCTTGTTTGGTCTGGGTCTGTGAACTTCAGCGTGACTTCAACGACACACACAGGGGTTAAAAACAACTCTTTCCAAACTTTCAACTGCACTAATGTGGAGCAATATACTGTGGGTCTCGAACCACATGTGTTCGACTCATGTTTATTATGGTTAATGCAACATTCGTTGAATTTACCTAACAGGAGAAACATAATATATATGTGCTTTTATTTGATATTTTTTTATTGGATGTGAAATTGGCCACGTGTGAAGTCCCAATAACTGAGTATTTCATTTTTAAATTTAATTTAAAGATTTCATAGAAAACTGTGCCTCCACTCAGAGACTGTTAAATTCATATTTGGCGTCTAATTCCCCCTAAAGGCAGAGACATAAGAAACAGGACGCGTGACTGCGGCCGGTAACGATCACCGCAGGTTTCATGATGATGACCGCGGCTCAGGGCTGCTCAGCTCGTCAGGTATTAACACTGCGAGTGTGATTAAATGTGGGAGGTTGGATCTGTGAGGCTGGCGGAGAGAGCTGCCGCCGCTGTGAGCTGGAAACTACTGAATGGGAATCTATCCGGCAACTTGGACACACCGCTGTCTCACGGCGACGCGGCGGCTCTGCGTAAAACCAAGCGGCGCGTCTCCAAGTCTGGCTCAGCCCAACTCGCAGGCGGAGAGGACGCTCAAGTTGGATCGGCCGAGCAGCTTCTCACTTGTTCTCGGCGCGCCTCGGCTCCCACTAACATGCCTGCCATCAAGAAGGAGCGGCTGGATGGAGACGACATGGCACTGACCGCCTTTAACCAGTCCGAATACCTGGCCCCTTTAAATGCCACCGCCATCCCCGTGGTGACCCCGCATCCACCGCCCTACGACCATATTTTCGCCCATCACCGCGCGTACTTGGGGCTCCACGACTCGGCGCTGCATCACCAGCATCTCCACCATCACACGGACGACTTAATGCTGGAGAGGTTCTCCTCCATCCCCGACTTCCAGCCCTTCTTCGACAACGGGGAGCCGTGCATCGAGGTGGAGTGCGGCGAAAACAAGGCTTTGCTTTATATCAATAAGCTGTGCCAAGGCAGCAAAGGACCTTCAATTAAATACAGGGGCGAGTGGCTCACCCCTAATGAGTTCCAGTTTGTCAGTGGACGAGAGACAGCCAAAGACTGGAAACGGAGTATTAGACACAAAGGTAAGAAACAACCTTAAGTGTCCTCGCAGTTCGTGGGCAGAGAGGGACACCTCACCACCGGCACTGAAACACTTTTTACACGCAGCCGTTTCTGGGTACAAACTTGGGTGTCTTGGTTGGGTGCTGTGAGTTTGGAGTGAAAGGGTTACAGCAGCAGTCAGTGCGTAAGGAGACAGATGCGAATAGGCGCAATCTCCTCCACAAACACTCCGGGGCTCTGACACAGAGTTTGGGCTGCGATCGTGCACCGAACCCGGGGCATCTGGAGTAGACTGCGCCGGAACTGAGGTGAAAAGTTACCGACATAGTTAATTCACCTTGTGACAGTTGTACTTTTATTATTATGGGATGAGTGGTTCCGTTTAGTGAAGCTGCACTTGTGGATGGGTGATGGGACTATCACATGGAGAGATTTTCTGTCTTTTGAAATGTGATTAGTTTCCTCATTCACACCACAGTCAGGGTTTACCGTTACAATTTTGCGAGCAATTGAAACATTTAACTACATATTTAAAAGTATGTCATCTCTTTATTGACGCATTTTACAGGTTTTTTTTCTTTTTCTGAAAGGATCTATACAACGATAATGTTCCGATATTCCTCACTTTGACATTAACTGCACAGTATTTTTACGCAATAATTACGCATGGAGCGCGCACACACACAAACACACACTCTCACGCACACTAGTTTATTCCGGGAGAGCTGACACTAGTTAAGGTGTGTGTGTGTGTGTGTGTGTGTGTGTGTGTTGGGGGAGGGGGGAGGGGTGTCGCCCTCAGGTCAAAAATGATTGCCTGATAGATCAATATACTGATTCCTGTATAGACTGATGACAGTACTTTGCTATCACTCTGCATGGGTACGAATCTGGGTAGAATTAAACTTCATGGCCAAAATCTTAAAGTGATCATTCCAGGTACTGACTCCAAACCTTTATACTGTATTAAGTTATTGATTTTTATTCATTTATTTATTTCTTGTGAAGATTTCTTTTTAAAACTTTTTGTAAGTTTGGAGATGGATTGAAGGAACAGACTATTTTCCCAAGCTAGTTGATGTTGCCTTATCTCATTCTGTGTCATGCACGTGTTGCACGAGTTTGAAATTTTTTTTCTTGTTTTTATTCCAGGGAAAAGTCTTAAGACGCTCATGTCAAAAGGAATCTTACAGGTGCACCCTCCCATATGCGATTGTCCTGGTTGTCGAATTTCATCTCCAGTGGTAAGAATTGTTCTTCTGCATTATTCATACCTGTTACTGCTGCAGCCTACTTTTTGTCATCTTGTTAATACAGAGTGATAACAAGGATGAGGATATTTTAGATTGTGTTTTACTTCCCTGCAGTGGTTATGTAGGATTTGTCAACTTTGCATGGTGGTCAAGATTTCTCAAAGGTGAAGGTTGTAACTTGTCAAAGAGCACGATGCATGAGGAAAGATATATTACAGTGGTGGTTTTTGGTAAGATAATATTGCGATAAACAAAAATTTTATAAAAACCTTTTTTTAAGTTAAGTTAATGGTTAATGCCTTTATCTACTTGGTTGCTGTATCAAGTAAATCTAGTTTGATTTATTCAACGAAAATCTCAAATCACTGATTTGTCTCAAAAGTAACAATATGTGCAGACCATCATAATTTATTATTTTATTTTCCTCATAGAACAAATCACTGCTCGATAATCAAGATTTATCTCAGCCTATCTGAAAGCAGGACTATAGGCACACTGATATTTCATTGTGATATTTGTGCTGTCATCCAGCTCGACATGCATGAAACTGTGTGTGTGTGTGTGTGTGTGTGTGTGTGTGAGAATATATCGGAGCGTTGTCTCTCTTTGTAACCTTGACGGTGAAGCCCCTACAGGCACACGTGTCAACTTTGATGATAATGTTTCTCAGCATGAATATCAAATCCACTTTCAGCCTTTCACGGACGCAGAGTATCAAGCAGCCTTTTTTTATTCAGAGGCATTGAGCTGTTCAGTATGGCTGCCTGACGTAAGGGCTCGTTGGCTCGGCTCCTCTGTCCTATTGAATCAGTTTCCTCACCTGGCTGTTGAACTTTTGTTTGCCTTGTGCTTCCCTCGGGGGCTCGGCCAGGGGCATGATGCCAAACCTCGAGGCCTTGCAGGTGTGTCACAAATACGGCATCACCACTCTGTGCATGTGTGTTTGTGTCAGTTATGAGCAAGCACACCGCCGGCTCACTGTCGCCAAATCTGTTCACACAGGTTGTGAGTGCGTGTGTGTGTGTGTGTTGTCTTCGTGTGTGTGTGTGTGTGTTTTTATCACCACGAAGCGCATCTGTCGTCGCTCCCAAGCACTAATCTTGAGGGAAGGGTGTAAGAGGCTTAGCGAGCTACTGAGCGTGGCTACTGCTGATTATTGTGTGCGAGGCACGCAAGGCAAAGGTGGTTTAGATAAGCCGGAGGTGTTTGAGTGATACAGGTAAACAGGTAACATTTTTCACAGCCAAGAATGAAGACCTGTACCCTAACACATAGGGTTCAGCCAAGACGAATCACCCGAGGGAGGCAGGGGGCAGTGAAAACAGATAGCAGAAATGCTCATGTTTTGTTTTTCTTATTTTTTACATGAGGATTTCAAAATCTGAGCATGTTTACTTGTGTTTAGGCTCATTACAGATATCAGAGCGATTGGCTCCTGGCTTGTAAGGGCCTGCACAGTTCCATTTCAATTATAGCTGTGACAGTAAAACTTTGTTATTGACGTAAGCAGGGATATGAGAGCATTAAGGTTGTTGGTGTAGCCTGTTTCTCCCTCTCTTCCTCTTCCTGTCTGTTGGTGAAGCCTGAAGTCGAACCCACCAATACCACTGTGACACACACACACACACACACACACACACACACACACACACACACACACACACACACACACACACACACACACACACACACA